TCAAAAGCTCTTAGATGGAAGTAAGGGTTATCTGTTGCCTTGAATTTAGGGATGTCAGTGGCGTTGAACTTATGCGGAAGAAGTTCCTTGTCCAACGAGACCCCTTGCGAACTCATGCCCTGAAATTTATAGTCACTAGATAGCTTTCTTAGACTCTCTTTCATGAGATCCATCCGTTGTTGCTTCACGGGATCATCGACCTTAAGTGTGAGGAGCTTCAGTGTTTCAGTCATGGTAACCAATTGGTTCCTAAGCTCATTGACTTCTTCTTGAGTTTCCATTACCTTCTTAGCCTTCCTCTTTTGACGAATCGGTTTATCAAAAAGCGAGACTTGAATAAAGAAGTTGTCCTTGATTAATGGCCCTTCTCTCCTCGACCAAGTACTGTGAAAAGGAATTTGGGGATACTTATTCTTAATTGTTTGACTCAAACTTTATTCAACATGCAATGGATGGAGGAGGTGAAGAAAGATGGAAGAATGTGAAGAAAGATTTAGATGGAGGGATATGAAGAATTAGGAATAGAATGTACCCCAACTCAAATGACGGAAAAGACCGACTTATGCATGAACCTAAGACATGGCCATGGTGATGTGTACTCAAAGTGTGTGCTAAGACTAGTGAGTGTAGGTGACATGTTAAGACTCGTGTCATGACCATGTGGCTAGATTATGTGACCAAGACTCGATTAATGACTTGACAAGGTGTTATTGACAGCGAAAATTAACCGAATTAAACAGGAAACTGAATAATTTTACATTAGGTGATGACTCGACAAATAATCCGAACTGTCGGCCAAGAGACAGGACTGGCGTCACAATATAGTGGATGGCGCCAGACTTTTTAGTAAATGTCTGGCGCTACACACCATATAGTGGCGCTACAGCTCAGACTTTGGCACTAACATTGGAGCTTTGGTCTGGGACTGTTTTCGGTATTATTAGTCAACTGGGGTATGCCTAAAGTCGTACTAGGTCAATTCCGATTAAAAGAAGAAAAACTTTATTGACTCGAATTAATTAATTAATTAATTAGGCAAAGTTCTTTAAGTCATTAATTATAATCTCAACACAAATCAACAAATGGTTAGGAGGAGCATAGAATATATATGCGTAACAAATAATGCACAATTAGTCAAGTAGGCACAATATGATGCAATGAGTTCGCAACCTAACCATGGCGCTAGTTCTCTAAAGTTCGGGATATGGTTTAGTCAAATAGGGTCCATGGTTAATTGTTCAGATGCACCACGTAGAAGCCTAACCGTGAAGGGTTAACGCGTGTGGATAGAACACCGCGAGTCTTTTAGGAAAAAACTCACTTCCATGGTTTGGTGAATTCAACATCTCAGATGTACCCTTTGTTGCCAGGAGCGTTCAATCGGGTAGATAGAGAATGAATTCCCAGAGGGTTATGTCCATATGTAGAACACATATGGGTTTCAGAAAAATGAGAAAAATTCAATCAGGAAGTAGGATCGAGCAAACAATACGAAAAACCGGTCGAAATTAGAACGCATATTTCTGGCTCGGTATTGGGGGAAATTGGCGCCAGCAAACAGAGACTGGCGCCAACTTTTAACTGTAGCACCTGGCGCCAATACTGGCGTCTAGCGCTACGGCTAAAAATTTGGCGCCAAGCTCTTGCCCCTGACGCTACTTCCCACATGCCTCAGCAGCTTTCTGTGCTCGATAAAATCATCCAGTTTCGCGCGGTGTTATTTCAGTCCTAGTTGTGAAAGACATTTCTCAAATTTCCTACGTGTAAAATCCTATGTTTTTGACTCATTACGGATGGTCTTTCCAATGAGAACCTTTTTATGCATATGACAATAATGTTAATCAAAATTACGCACATGAAATACTTAGAACTTTTCGAGTCTCATCCACTCATTCTAAATCATTGCCGAAACAAATTCAGGAATTAAAATAGAAATCCTCCCCAGTGGAGTCGCCAAAAACTGTAAGGAATAGTTTCAAGCCTTAAAAATCCCACTAGCTCGAACCCCACTGTGATCATACACTAAAGTACGGTGGCGTCCAAAAGGGAAGAAGATAGAGCAAAAGAGTCGCCAACAAGTTTTTAAGGAACTTGTAAACCGTTCACGAGGTGAAGGTTACACCCCTTAACGATCCAAGAGATCGCCAAATCCATAAGGTCATGAACCAAATAAGGGTCCGGGGATGAAGGTACAAATCCAACCTAAAAGAGATTGAACCCGCCCTAATAATAGGCCTCTACTTTATTCTGATCGTATTCATGTGCGCTTTCTGACTAACATACAATCAATAGGATTAACCCTAAACCTGTTTAATCTATGTTGCTTGAATATTAATGTACATATAAACTATTATTGGTGATCACTTGAATTATAATCACAATTAACCTAACAAGATTATTAATTATCTTATTAAGCGTGATTGCAAATACCAATTCCCTTTAAACATACATAAAAGGTGATCAAGCAATAACAATATAAAATAATATGTGTCAAGCAACATAATAAATAATCATGATAATTAATAATAACAATCATAAATATTAGGGAGAATATAGGAAGCATCATACTTTTAATCATACTTGATATTAAAGATACCCTAGACATGATACTAGGAATCATCAAAATAACAATCTAAGCATGATTTCTACATCATAAAATCAATAAATCAATAAAGTACTTACTTGGAAGCCTCGTACCTCTTTCTAATAACAAAATACACACGTTAGTAACTTCAAGGAAAATAATAATCAAAGCAATTAAATTAAATAATTCAAAGAGAGATTTGGGACCAAACCCTCAGAAATTAAAACCTTTCACAACTAGGGCGAAGGCAACTTCGAATATGGCTAGGTGTATCAAGATCTTGTGAATGCGGAATTTTGTGTTAAAGAGTAAAGTTTAGAAAGAATGAATGAAAGATTAATGATTCATAAAGCAATTGTTGACGATTGACGATTGTGAATGATGAATGAAAACGGAGTTTATTAAAAAGAATTGGTGAATGATAGATGTAGATGATGAATAAATATTGATAATCCGTTCTTCAAAATGGAGTTTTTAATACGATATTTATAGAGAAAAACATCCAAAAAAGATAATTTATCAAAACAGAGTCTGGGGATCGAAAAACCAACTTGGCGCCAGCCCTGGCTCATTGGCGCCAATGGCTGGCGTCTGGCGCCAAGGCCTGGGATTGGACGCCAAACCGGATTTTAACGCGTTTTCGAAATTCTGATAATTTTACCGTACTGGATGATAAAATAATATAAATTCAGTCGAAAATGCTATTTGATCTAATTAAAACTCTAAAGAATCCTAATTGAATTAAAAATGATAAGAACCTTCTAGAATGTTCTAGAAGACTAAAACCATTCCTAATTACATTAGGAAAGATAAATCATACTAGGCCCTCCCCTAGATCATTGGGCCGTACTTAAAACTCAAACCGGGTCCAGTTTAGTAAATTGGCCATAAATTCCTCAATATTCATCGGAATTGGGCTAATAATATGTCGTTGGAAAGGTCTTTGCAAGCCCCATCCAACTACACCACTATTGGACCCATATGGTGGACTAACCAAACTGGATTGGCTGTTTTCTTAAAATAAAGTTTTCAAAAACAAAGAGAAAAGAAAAGAAAAGAAACTTTCCGCAACACTAGACCTTTCCACACTTTCGTTTCATTCGATTATGATTCGACGTGAAAGGTACTCATCACTGGGTTTGGTTTTGGGGAGACACAAATGGGTGTCTACACCCATTCAAGTGCGTCTGGGTGAAAATGTACTTCAAACTCTTATGATCCGTGAAAATCCTACATGTCACCCCATACAAGTAATGTCTCCAAATCTTCAAGGCAAACACTATTGCAGCTAACTCCAAATCATGCGTTGGGTAATTCCCTTCGTGAACCTTCAACTGCCTCGAGGCATACGCAATCACCCTTCAATTTTTCATCAACACACATCCCAATCCCAACCTCGATGCATCACTATACACGTCATATAGATCACTCCCATCCGGCAAAGCCAGCACAGGTGCTGTGGTCAAAATTTCTTTCAAGATCTTAAATGCCTCCTCACACTCTTGGGTCCATGAGAACTTATGCTCCTTCTTCATTAAACTTGTCATGGGCTTCGCGATCGTTGAAAAATCCTTCACAAACCTTTTGTAATAGCCTGCTAAACCCAAGAAACTCCTTACATCTGACACATTCTTTGAGGCTGGCCAATCACTCACAGCTTGAATCTTTCTTGGGTCCACTAAAACTCCGTCCTTGGAAATCACATGGCCCAAAAATGCTACTTTCTCCAACCAAAACTCACACTTAGACAACTTGGCATACAACTGATGCTCTCTTAAACATGACAACACTTGTCTCAAATGCTCCTTATGCTCTTCTTCATCCTTTGAATATATCAAAATATCATCAATAAACACCACTACAAACTTGTCCAAGTAGGCCTGAAAATCCTATGCATCAAGTCCATGAACATTGCAGGTGCATTGGTCAAACCAAATGGCATAACTATGAACTCATAATTACCATAGCGGGTCCTAAAAGCACTCTTTGCAATATCTTGCTCCGCAATTATCAACTGGTGATAACCCGATCTCAAATCTATCTTTGAGAATACCCCTGCTCCTTTCAACTGGTCAAACAAATCATCGATCCTTGGTAATGGATACTTATTCTTCACTGTCATCTTGTTCAACTCTCGATAATCTATACACAACCTCATACTTCCATCTTTCTTCTTCACAAACAATACTGGAGCTCCCCAGGGTGATGAACTAGGCCTAATATAACCTTTCTCCAACAAATCATCCAACTGGGTCTTCAACTCCCTCAACTCAGCTAGAGCCATCCTATATGGAGCCTTAGAAATAGGTCCAGATCCAGGCACTAGATCGATAGTGAACTCAACATCCCTCACTGGTGGCATACTAGGAATCTCATCCGGAAACACATTTGGAAACTCTTCTACAATAGGAATACCCTATTCACCTTTCTTTTCCTCACTTTCAACCTCTTGAACACTACACAAAAACAAAGGACAACCCTTCTTAACCAGCTTCTGTAGTTGCATTGCAGACATAATTCTCAACCCCGAGCTTTTACCTTCCTTTTTATACACCACTTTGGTCTTACTTGGGCTAGTCAAGGTGACCTTTTCAGCCGCACAATCAATTTTTGCTTCATACTTTCCCAACCAATCCATACCCAGAATCACATCAAAGTCATTCAAGTCAAACTCGATCAAATAAGCCAGAAACTCAACCCCAGAGATGGAAATAGGCACACTAAAAAACAATCTCAAACAACTCCTCACTTCCCCAGACGGAATAGACACATCTAGAGAAACTGACTCAGGACTCTCTAACCTGAGACTCCCAACTACTTCCTTAGAAATAAAAGAATGCGACGCCCCTGAATCAAACAAGACTTTCACAGGAGAAGAACTTATAAAGAAAACACCAATTACCACATCATTAGCAGACTCAGCCTGCCGACTATTCGTCACGAACACACAACCCTTTGGGGCACCTCCCGCACCGCTACTGGTTCCAGCCTTGGTTGTTGGTCCACTAGACTGAGGTGGTTTACTAGGTGCACTAGACTCTTTCACCTTCCCAGACTTAACATCAGCTTCCTTCTTGAAACACTCATACTCACGGTGTCCCAACTTCTGACAGTAACGACAAGTTACCGGGTTTCCCTCACAGTCCTTCCCTGGGTGGTCTTTCTCACACCTCTTGAAGAAATACTTCCTCTTGGGTTTCTCACCCCTTTGGTTCCCATTCCCTTTATGGTTGGACGACTGTACCCCATTCCCCTTCCCAAAGTTCCCCTTGTTGTCCCTCCTATCTCCAAAATTCCCTTGGTAATTTCCATTAGGCTTGTGCCTCTTTTCACCCCCGTGAAAAGAGTCTGGGTTCTTCCTTGGCTCTCCCACATGCTCCATCTCCCTCCCCTTAATTCCGTACAGATGGGATGCACGACCATATACTTCATCTAGGGTCTCAAAAGTTACCCCCCTAGATTCCCTTGGAGAAAGGTTAGGCCTTGCTTAAATCTTTGAGCCTTAATGGTTTCAGTAGGGACTACTTCCGGGGCAAACATCATCAACTCAATGAACTTGTTGTAGTATTCACTAATTGACATGTTTCCCATTCTTAGGTTGGTAAACTCTATACACTTCTGCTTTCTAAGGTAGGAAGGGTAAAACTTCTCTCTCAAGGCTTCCTTAAACTCATCCCACCCAAAGTTTGGTCTTTTCAGCAACTCATCCTTTCTTTGGGTCCACCATAAGTCAGCTTCCTCCCTTAAGTAGTAAACCCCATTGTTCACCCTTAGCTCACTTGGGTAATTGATAGCATCAAACAGCTTGTCAAACTCCCTAATCCAGTTTTCAAGGCTGGCTGGGTCCTCTTTTCCCAAGTAAAAGGTGGTTTAGCTGCAGCTACCCTCTTAAAGACTTCACTATAGGCATCAAGCTCAGCATTTTGGTGTTCCCTGTTCACCACCTTCGTGATGTTCTCAATAATTTGGGTCAACTACTTAAGGACCTTTCCAACTTTGGAACCAGTGCGTTTACTCCTTAAATGTTCCCTCATTCTTGGAGACATAATTCCTGGGTATGATTATTACACTTGGAAATCATAACAAGTTCTACTCATACAAGCATTTAATTCACTTAATAACATAGAGAAAATTCAAATAAGAATAACTTTCATATTATTAATAATTAATAAAGAGTACAACTTTTGCCATCTAGACAATTATTCAAAGCAATAACATAGTCATAATTAAATCATTCAAACAACACTCTCAACATAACCATCTTCAACTGGATCATAATCAGGATCCTCTCGCCTATCACTTGGTTTAGTCATAAAGGTAGGGTTGTAACCACTGTAACTTGGGGTACGACCTGACGAATTTGACCCAGATTCACTTTGGTTGTTGTCCGGGCCAGGGTTATAGCTTGGACTTTTTATTGGGCTCACATGAAGTTGGCTTGAAGAAGCAATATGTTTTTGGGCTTTTGAGCATGAGGCTTTCTCCTTGGAAACTTGGGAACGGGTTTTGGGCCTTTTAGCAATGTGGAATTGGGCTTTTGGGCTAGAATTTTTTTAAGATTCAGAGCTCAAATATTGGCTAAGAGAACGGTAATGCTTGCTCCTACCAAGAGGTGGTACGGACTCATCACTAGATTCCACATACTCATGTCGCTTATTTGGGTATGAAAAAGGTACTTGAGCATTTAAGAAGTACATTTGGTCATTAGGTCCAAAGGTGAGGTCTTTTGGGATCGTGGGAATTTTCACAACTTTCCTCTTAGGTTCATACTTGCGCTCCACATAGTGCAAGTCCCTCTTAAATCTAGACATGATTGCTAACCACTTCCCTTCATGATGGTGCTTTTCATTCCACATTGTTCCATCTTCCTTGATCACATCCCCATATTTGTCAAAAAGAGGTTGGTATTTCTCAATTCTAGGCAAATGGGCCAAGGCTAGAAGAACCATCCAAGGTTGTTGGGTCAAGGCTTCCTTACCATTCTTCTCATAAAGGGTCAAGGCCAAAGTACAAATTCCAGTTATGAAATCACTAACTGTGACTCCACTATCTTTCAAGTAATGAATGTCAAAATATTGGTGTCTCATTGCATCAATCATTTTCATCTGATTCACACATATATGCAAAACAATTAATTAAGTGTCAAATCACACAAACAATCCAATTCAAAATCCATTTGTAATAAGCAATTCATAACTCAACCAAACATAACTCAAGATTACCCAATCATGGGTTATAACTCAAAAATTCGGACCTCTAGATCACACTCTAAGGTGTTTTAACACCAACTTTAATGCACACATAATCGCATACTCAAGTTTCAAACAATTTCAATTCTTTTTATTTTCGAAAATAATAAATATGTACTTGAATCAAGATTAAAGGACGGTTGAGCCTGCACCTCCCAGGAAAGTTACCTACGACATTGAGGCGAGCCTTTCCTAGACAGAGAGTCGTACCCATTATAGGCCTCCGTAGAGAACTCAAGAATCCTTTTCTGCTTCATCTTTCCATAGTTTTTTAAGTAAAAATAAGGCTTTTGACTCACACACAAATGTGAAACTCTATCTATCCTATATGCCCTCTTAAGTCTACTCACATTTTTTTTAATTGCTATTCCAATTTTAATCTTTTTAGGACCTTGAAAACTGATACCACTTTGTGAAAATCTAATACCACTTTGTGAAAATCTGATACCACTTTGTAACACCCCCAAATCTCCCTCTACGGAAATACTAGTATTATCCGTATAATTATACCGTAGAGATAGACTTAGGCGTATAACCGCCGCGTGATTACGCAAGGCTACTCAACTTACTAAAAATAACAATACTTTGCAGCGGAAACTCAAATACTCTTCTTTATTAATAATAACCATAATAGTAACCAATGTTATGAGTACTCAAAATAGATACAATACCAAATTCCAAATTTAGTGAAAACCAATCCCGAGACTCCAATGTATCATTTATTGACTCCAACCTGAAAATAAGCAACACTGCTTACCATTACGGTAAACAGGGCGAACCAAAGCAAATAAGAAGTACGAGTTAGCAAAATATGCTAAGTACGATAAGTGCAAGATAATTAAACTCAATTTATTCGCAAACATGCTTTAAAACCAGTTTCCAATAAATAATCCATTAATACCAAACTCATGGTGTAAAACCAATTCTCAATAATTCCAATATCAATAATCAATAAAACCAATTCCAATTATTTAAAAACCAATTCCTCATATTAAAACCAATTCCTCATATTAAAACCAATTCCTCTCCCCAGTGTACACACCCCCCAAGCTAGTCTCCTTATGTTACAAGGCTATTCTTGAGGAAAGACCCGGTCATACAAAGTCCAAGGCCTTATCAATAAACCAAATCCGCATAGTAGGATTACTAACATGCTTATAAAGAATTAATAATAATAAATCAATGATACAATAAATCCTCTTTTAAATCCAATAATTCAACCTTTAATGAAAACAATCCAAACTCCTTTTCAATAAATCCAACTTGCTTTCAAAATCAATCCCTTTTACACATGAATAATAAATTAATTAATCAAAACATGTTTTAAAAATAAATACTCCAATTTAATTATTAAAACCAATCCTTTAAACATACTTTTAATTCATAAACCATAATTCAATTCAATTTAATTCAAGCAACATAAATCATTCAAACATGTTATTCAAATCGATCACTTTCAAGGTATCTAGCCACCTAACGTACCTTGATCTTCGCTTAGCCAACAACAGTTCAAAAGAAATCTCAAGTAGCTTGATCAAAAACACCCTACAAATAAATATAACCTTAATCAATATAAGGTTAACAAATAATCATAAATAATTAAATTAAACCCTCCCAACTATATGTACATGAACCTCTTAAATTAATTCAACATGAAAATTATTAAAATCTGATTTTATATAATTAAAACTACTCATAATAATTTTATATTAATCTCTCATAATAATAATAATAATTGAATAAGAGAAAAGGAGAAGAAAAGAATTGGATTTGCGTAGGAAATAATAGGCAGAACATTTAGAGGCTATAACTCCTTTTATATAGCTCCGAATTGGGTGATTATTGAGCCTAATCTCAAGGATTTTTCGAGAGGAATAACTTTTTGTGAAACGTCAATACCCAAAAAACTGATCAGAAGTACCCGAAAATTGGCTTCAAAGATGAATGGAATGATTTGTGTAAAATTGAGGAGAAGAAAAGAAGAGAATTGGTGTGAAGAATGTGAGAGGTATGAAGGGGTATTTATAGGCTAGTATGAGCATGAATTATGGTAGGAAAATGTAGGAAGAATTATGGTAACTAGGGTTTAAGAGATTAGTTGGAGAAGTGAGCAAAGATTTAAGGAAAGTTTTGATATTTGAAGGGATCGTGTATAATTGAATATGGAAGGTATTTATGTCATGAAAAATATTAAGGAAATTGGAATTACTTGGGGAATAATTAAGAAGAATTAATGGCAAGAAAATATAATGATTGGATATCAAAAAGATGGAGAATTAGAATTATGAAAAATAGGAGATTTTAAGAAGATAATTAAAAATACAAATTACCAAAATATTTTCCCCAAAATCTTCATGGGATGGCCGAAATTTTTGAGCTTTCCTAAGCTCATATTTTCGGCCATCCTATTTAGTATTTAGGAATATATTTTGATAGTTTTAAGGAATTAAAAATAATTGTGTAAATAATATTTAGGAAAAATTGCTCCCATTAATCTGAACTTTGCCTCGTCCGTCGAAAATAATCCCAACTTTCGTTTATTATCTATCACTCCCAACTTTTAGGGGGTATTAATTTTTGTTGCACCCAACAGGTCATCTAACCTGAAGTAGCAGGTTACCTAGACATGTGTCAGCGTATGATTGGCTTAATTTTTTTTTAAAAAAAAAAACAAAAAACAAAAAAAAAAACCCTACAAACCATCCATGCTCAGCGGCTGCCACCACACCCCTACCCCACCCCGTCGGAAAATCACCCCCACCCCCGAAAAACCCCTCCCCTGCTGTCGAAAACCGCCGTCCAACCTTCCCCCTACCTCGAAACCCACCCTTTCCCATCCCCCACCCCTGAAAACCCCTCCCCCACCCCTGAAAACCCCTCCCTCACTCCCGGAAACCGTCGCACAACCCTCCCCATTCCCTCAAAACTCCCCCTTTCCATTTCCCCACCCCCGAAAACCCCTCCCCCACCCTGTTTCCTCCGTCACTCCCCTCTCCCCCGCCGTTTTCCGACCCAAATCCCCTTTCCCTTCGTTTTCGCCGTTTCCCCCTCCCCGTCGTTTTCGCCCCCTTCCCCTTCGTTTCCGACCCAAATCCGGCCTCCCTTCCTTTATCCTCCCTTAATCCCGCTGCCA